TATCAGCTGATGGTCCATAAAGCATCTGAAACTGAGTAGCAAATCTGCCTTTTTTTTTTTTTAACTTTCTGTTTACAGCTCTCTTGTATCTTTTTTTTTTTTTTAAAGACAGGGTCTTATTTAGCCAGGCTGGAGTGCAGTGGCATGATCTTGGTTCAATACAACCTCTACTTCCTAGGCTCACGCCATTCTTGTGCCTCCAGCGTCCCGAGTAGCTGGAATTACAGGTGCGTGCCACCCCACTCAGCTAATTTTTTTTTTTTTTTGATACAGAGTCTCATTCTTGTCCCCCTGGCTGGAGTGCAGTGGTGTGATCTCACCTCACTGCACCCTCTGCCTCCTGAATTCAAGCAATATTCCTGCCTCAGCCTTCCGAGTACCTGGGATTACAGAAATGTGCCACCACACCTGGTTAATTTTGTATTTTTAGTAGAGATGGGGTTTCACTATGCTGGCCAGCCTGGTCTTGAACTCCCGACCTCAGGTGATCTGCCCACCTTGGCCTCCCAAGTGCTAGGATTGCAGATGTGAACCACCTTGCCAGCCTAATTTTTGTATGTTTAGTGAGACAGGGTTTTGCTATGTTGGGCAGGCTTATCTCGAACTGGTTTCAAATGATCTGCCTGCCTCAGCCTCCCAAAGTGCCGAGATTCCAGGCATGAGCTGCTGTGCCCAGCCACTCATGCATCTTAAGGTTGTCTGCTTTGACACTGTAGCCCTACCACGTGGGCACCTTTTGGTATAGTTACTACATTTACATCAGGCACATAGTCAAAAGGCTCCCCACCCCAAAGTATTGTGACGCAAGATTATGGGCTGTCGCCATTATATAAGTCTACCGAGACTTCTTAAACCGTGTAACACTATCCCTGACCCCGCGAAAGAAATCCTCTTTATCCGAGTCCCCTTGGATTTGAATTGCACACTGTTGTTGAGCAGCTTCAGCTTTTCTTTGGATGTGAATATAGAAATTTCTTTGCAGATAAATTGTTTTTTGGACTAGAATACCAAGCTCTTGTTTTCCATGAGCTATAGAAATAGTACCAAAATCACAAAAATATTAAGCATTTTATTCTTTAATCTGATTAAGAGGCACAAAAGTAATACAGCCTATATCTTTGATTAGGTTTTAATTAGAGTGCAGAAAGGAAGTACAATTTGAGTGCCTCTGTTACAGTGTTTGAAGCTATGCAATAGGTGCGTTTGTGCAACTTCCAGAAAGGATGCATCTCCCTTTATCAACTGAGCCTGGCAGGTTTCTGCCTCTAATTTATTGCTTTTAGAACATTATGGATTAGAAGATTATCAGATTCTTATGAATTTTTCTAGCAATTCTTAATTCCAGTTTCTTTCTTTCTTTTTTTGAAATAGAGTCTCGTTCGTCACCCAGGCTGTGCAATAGCACCGCCATAGCTCATTGCAGCCCTGAACTCTTGGACTCAAGGGATCCTCCTGCCTTAGCCTCCTGAGCAGCTAGGACTGCAGGCCTGGCTAATAATTAGAATTATTATAGAGACAGGGTCTTCCTGTGTTGCTCAGGCTGGTCTTGGACTCCTGGCCTCAAGGAATCCTTTCATGCCAACCCCTTGAGTCACTAGGATTATAGGCATGAACCACCACACCTGGCTCATTCTGTTTTTATACAAGTTAGAATATTGGTATGGTTTTATTGGACCATGACTATAATATGAAAAACAGTAAGAGTATTTATATGACTTCTTTTTGTAAAAGTCCTATGTTTTAGAAACAAATTGTTTATCATAATGTTTATATTTTTAAAAACAAGTTGTTTATTTAATTTAGAAGATGTTACTAGAAAAGTATTTTTTTGGCCAGGCTCATCCCAGCACTTTGGGAGGCCGAGGCAGGTGGATCATGAGGTCGGGAGTTCAAGACCAGTGTTACTAACATGGTGAAACTCTGTCTCTACTAAAAATACAAAGATTAGCTGGTTGTGGTGGTGGTGTGTGCCTGTAATCCTAGCTACTCAGAAGGCTGAGGCAGGAGAATCCCTTGAGCCTGGGAGGCAGAGGGTGCAGTGAGCTGAGATTGTGCTACTGCCCTCCAGCCTGGGCAAGAGAAGGAGACTGTCTCAAAAAAAAAAAATTTTTTTTGAAATTTTGTGGGTTATATTTTGCTACAGCGGGTGTACATTTTTGTGAAGTTCATATGAAGATGTAATAATTTACTTCTTTCTTTTCTTTAGAGACAGGAGCGTGGTCTGTTACCCAGACTAGAGAGCAGTGGCATAATCAGGGCTCACTGCAGTCATGTACTCCAGGGCACAAGCAATCTTCCTGCCTCTACCTCCTGGGGAGCTGGGACTACAGGTGTGAGCCACCATGCCCAGCTGATTTTAAAACATTTTTGTAGGCTGGGCATGGTGGCTAATGCCTGTAAATCTAGCACTTTGGGAGGCTGAGGCAGGTGGATTGCTTGGGCCCAGGAGTTCCAGACCAACCTTGGCAGCATGGCGAGACCCTGTCTCTACAAAAAAATATAAATATTAGCTGAGCAAGGGGTTGTGTGCGTGTAGTCCCAGTTACTTGGGAGGCTGAGGTGGGAGGATCACCTGGGCCTCTGTAGAGACATAGCTCTTGCTCTGCTGTCCAGCTGTCTTGAAGTCCTAGTCTTATGTGATCCTCCTGCCTCGGCCTCTCAAAGTGCTGGTATTACAGGTGTGACCCCCCATGCCTGGGCTAATTTACTTCTTTAGGATGCTTTAAAAAGCAAATCTGGGCCGGGCGCGGTGGCTCACGCCTATAATCCCAGCACTTTGGGAGGCTGAGGCGGGTGGATCATGAGGTCAAGAGATGGAGACCATCCTGGTCAACAAGGTGAAACCCCGTCTCTACTAAAAATACAAAAATTAGCTGGGCATGGTACTCGGGAGGTTGAGGCAGGAGAATTGCTTGAACCCAGAAGGCGGAGGTTGCGGTGAGCCGAGATCGTGCCATTGCACTCCAGTCTGGGTAAACGAACAGCAAAACTCCATCTCAAAAAAAAAAGCAAATCTTTTTCTAATTGGTTAGGAGTAAAGTTTTGTTGTTGTTTTGAGTCAAATATAAAATATATTAAGACAATATACAGTAGTATTTGTAAACTTATTCATGTATTAAGAGTCGACAGTTATGTTATTGGAGGAGGAAAATGTCCATTTGGATACTGAAACTTTTTCTCACTTGGAACAGGATAACATACCAAGGAAGTGAGCAGAACACTGTCTGCCTCTGAGAGTAAGAGCTGGCTAGGCATGGTGGCTCATGTTTGTAATCTCAGCAATTTGGGAGGCTGAGGCAGGAGGATCACTTGAGCCCAGGAGCTCAAGACCAGCTTGAGCAACATAAGGAGACCCTATCTCTACAAAAAAAAAAAAAAAAAAAAATAGCCAGGTGTTGTGGTGCACACCTGTGGTCCCAGTTACTGGGGAGGCTGAGCTGGGAGGATTGCTTGAGCCCAGGAGTTGGAGGTTGTAGTGAGCTGTGATTGTGCCACTGTACTCCAGCCTAGGCAACAGAACAAGACCTTGTCTCTAAAAAAAAAAAAAAAAAAAAAAAAAAATTGAAAAAAGAAAAAATGTTCTAGAAACACATCAATGACACTTAACCCAAAATGCAGAGGCTGAAGGCAAGAAGGCTTCCTTGAGAAACCAGTCATTGAGATGAGCCTAAAAGAGAGTGAAGCTGTGAGACAGACAGAGCCTGAGATTGGGGGGACTCTGGCATTGTAGCAAGGTTGTCTGTTGGGGGCAAGGGCACAGTGGTAGGAGGGGAGGCCGGAGCCATGGGTGGAGGGGCTAGTTGTGGACGGCATGCCTCTCCCTAGGACTGAATTGAGGATCCGGTGAAAGGTTTGCAGTGGGGAGGACACAGACTGATTTGTGCTTTGGGAAGGACACTCTGGCTATGTGTGGAGAAGCAATGAGGGGAGAGGGGGTGCAGAATGGGGGGTCAGAGACTAGTGGAGGCTGCTGGGGTGACTGCTGTTTCGATGGGAGGAGCAGCCCAGAGGCTGCATTTTTTTATGGGAAGGGTCTGTTAGCAGAGGCCAACCTGACACTGCCTTGTGGCCAGGAGGGAGACAAATGAAGGCTAGCGTTTCTTCTCTCTGCATCTGCCTCACGTCACCATCTTTGTTCAAAACGTATTCAGAATGGGAAAGCTAAATTCCAGAGTAACAAAGAGTTTGTTGGACTTGTTAGAGTTAGGCATGATCGGATTTAATTATATTGAGATCTGTCAATAACTTTCATTTACTTAGAAAGTTCACATCTTCTGGGTTTCCAGAGGACTTTTATTCTTGATAAGATTGCTTTCTTGAGGGAAAGTTTAATCCAGCTGCAATTTTTCTTTAAAAAAACCATTTATCTTAAGAAATATAATATTGAAAGAATATTTAAAGAAGTATTTAAAAATGGTAAAAGGAAGATTTTTGTGTAGTCGCTTTGGTTTCTGGAAGCCTTTGCATTATTTAATAGCATTTCCTTGCCAGTGTTTAAAGAGCTATTAGTGAGCCCAGGCCCTGCCCTCTGAAAGCATTCCTAAAGCTTGCTCTGAAACAGTGAAGATAAATGTCTTGTTTGCTGAAGCCAAATGGTTGTCTAATAAGAGGATCTCTCTTTATAAAATAATAATAGATGTGATATTAAGAAGGGGAAGATAATTGACTTTTTTAAAAAGCTAAAACATAAACTTCCTTATGCTAATGTTACAACTGGAAAATCTAAAAAGAAAAACCCGACTCTAACATTGTCTGCATGAAATACATGGTAGAAGTCTGTGTACCTGTCACCTTTAAAAAACCCCTTGACAGAACATTTTCGAAGTCAAGATTACTCCAGCTCACGTAAATGGCAATGATTACTGCTGGCTTTAAATTATGGAGCCTACAGTTGCCTTCTTAGCAATGTTACTGGTGAGAGAATTGCGTAGTGCTTAGTCAGAGTGCTTTTTGGGTGGGAGTGGTATAGTAATAGTGACACACTTTCATTTCCTTTGTAGACATTACAAGAAGCGGTGCCAAGGCCGCATGCGGAAGCACGTGGGAGACCTGTGCCTGCAGGCGGGGATGCTGCAGGACTCGCTGGTACATTACCACATGTCCGTGGAGCTGCTCCGCTCCGTGAATGACTTTCTGTGGCTTGGAGGTAAGATAAGCTGATGAAGGCGATCTGATATGTAATTGTGTCAACCGTTACTTGAAATGAGAGGAAACTGAAAAAGAAAGTCCCCAAAAAGAAGGGATGAGGGAGGAAAAGCAGCCAGCCTGTGCTGGTTACCACAAGCAGTGGCCTGGGGTGCTTCCCTGCAGTATCTGCTGCCCTCTGCCCGCCCTGCTATGCATCTTCTGAAGGACGCCCTGCCCACGCTGTCCATCTTCCTCTGTTCTTAGCACACTGTGCCCTCTGCTTTGGATGCCGTTCCCATGATCTTCACCTCATAGGCTCATCCCTCAAAACCTCCTCCATGTGTCACATGATGAATGGATAAACAAAGTGTGGTGTGGGAATACAGCGGAATGTGACTCAGTCATGAAAAAGAAGGAAATTATGATACCAGTGCAGCACGGATGAATCTTGACAACTTTGTGCTAAGTGAGAGAAGCCAGACAAAAAAGGCCACAGACTGTATGATTCTGTTTATATGAAGTGGCTAGAATAGGCACATCTATAGAAGCAGAAATCTGTAGAAGCAAATCTATAGGCAAATCTGTAGAAGGTTCTAGGGGCTGGGAAGTGGCTGTTAATGGGCATGAGGTTTCTTTTTGGGTGAGGAGCATGTTCCAGAATCAGATAGTGGTGATGCTTGCACAGTTATGAATATTCCCAAAACTGCTGAATTATGCACTCTAAGTGGGTGAAGTATATGGTATGTGAACTCTATGTCAATCTTAAAAATTATAAAAAGGGCAAGAGGAAAACCTACTTCAAAGAATAGCCGGCTCTGATCCCCCCTCTGCAGTCGGCTGAGCAGACATTGTCTGACCTGTTGCTGACCCTTTGCGCTGGAATTGGATGTCTGTGTGTGGCCTTCCCTTGGGGACTGCATCTCCTGGAGGTGGGCCTGGGAGGTCTGGACTGGCTGTGTCCATGCCTGACAGGTTGCAATGTTCTCTAAATGCTTGTTAAATGAACGATGTGTGAGGAAGGACTGAAATAGGGTTCTTTTGTTGAAGTTGACAGTTTAGCAAGGACACCTGTCAGCCACTTACAAGAATACAAGTCAGAATGAAGTCATGAGGTGAGTTCTTTAACAGAAGTTTAATGAGGTGCTGTAGAATACATTAAATGTAAGAAATTCTTTCTTTCTTTTTTTGAGACAGACTCTTGCTCTGTCATCCAGGGTGGAGTGGAGTGGCATGATCTCGGCTCACTGCAACCTCTGCCTCCTGGGTTCAAGTGATTCTCCTGCCTCAGTCTTCTGAGTAGCTGGGAATCCAGGCGTGCACTACCATGCCTGGCTAATTTTTGTATTTTTAGTAAAGATGGGGTTTTGCCATGTTAGCTGGGCTGCTCTTGAACTCCTGACCTCAGGTGATCTGCCTGCCTTGGCCTCCCAAAGTGCTGGGATTACAGGCATGAGCTACTGTGCCCAGCCAAATATAAAAAATACTTTAAATGGCCAGGTATGGTGGCTCACACCTATAATCCCAACACTTCTACCAAAAAATAAAAAATAAAAAAACCTCAGTTCACCTCATTTCTTAAAAAAAAAAGAAAAAAAATTAAAAAACATTAGCTGGGTAGAAACCAGCCTGAGCAACATAGGGAGACCTCACTTATACAAAAAAAAATTAAGAGGCATTAGCTGAGTGTGGTGGTCTGTGCCTGTAGTCCCAGCTACTTGTGAGGCTGAGGCAGAAGGATGGCTTGAGCCCAGCAGGTCAAGGCTGCAGTGAGCCATCACCGCACCACTGCACTCCATCCTGAGCAATAGTGAGACTTTGTCTTTTTTTTCTTTTTTTTTTTTTAAAGATGGGGTTTCACTGTGATGGCCAGGCTGGTCTTGAACTCCTGACCCCAGGTGATCCACCCACCTCGGCCTCCCAAAGTGCTAGGATTACAGGCGTGAGCCACTGCCCCCGGCCGAGACTTTGTCTTTTAAGAAAAAACAAAAATAAAACTTAAAATGGACTTAAATTTAGGTGGTTTTTTTTTTTTTTTTTTGAGACGGTGTCTTGCTCTGTTGCCCAGGCTAGAGTGCAGTGGCGAGATCTCAGCTCACTGCAACCTCCTGGGTTCAAGGGATTCACCGAGTAGCTGGGATTATAGGCGCCGCCACCACACCTGGCTAATTTTTGTAGTTTTAGTAGAGATGGGGTTTCAGCATCTTGGCCAGGCTGGTCCTGAACTCCTGACCTCGTGATCCACCTGCCTCGGCCTCCCAAAGTGCTGGGATTACAGGTCTGAGCCACTGTGCCCAGCCCAAATTTAGGTTTTTAAAGAGGCTAGAGAAATAAAAGTGGGGAACAAAAGGGAGTAAGAATTAGGGATAAAAAGAAAAGAGAAGCAGATAAAGGATTAAGAGGGATGAGAGAGTGAGTTTCACTTGGCTTTTTTGAAAGAGTGCTGTCTCCCTAAGTTCTCCTTATTGTGTCAATTAGAGAGTAAGTGCATCTCCCAGCACAGTCTGAGACCAGGGCCTGTGCGGCAGGAGCTTCTTCAGAAAGACTGGGACCGCCCATATGCCTTACTCCGGAGGGCTCCTACAGAGTCCACGGAGAGGGATGGTGCTGTGTGCCCTGGGCCTCTTCCATGGCCTCTCAAACAGTGGAGTTGTCCAGAAGCTACTTATGCCTGACATCACAGCTGACTGAACGTAAAAGCAGATAGAAGATCCAGCTGACTTGTATTAACTCTGACATTAAAGAAATGTGTCAACATGTAAAATAATGCCATTCCTCCAGTATTTTATTTTTGTTTTGGAAAATAATTATTTTTCATAAAAATGTTAATGCATGAGAAACTTATTCTTTTATTATTTTTTTTTATTTTTTGAGACAGAGTCTTGCTCTGTCACACAATTGCATGATCTCCGCTCACTGCAACTTCCACTTCCCAGGTTCAAGCGATTTTCTTGCCTCAGGCTCCCAAGTAGCTGGGGCTACACGTGTGCGCTATCAAACCTGGCTAATTTTTGTATTTTGAGTAGACTTGGGGTTTCACCATATTGGTCAGGCTGGTGTTGAACTCCTGACCTTAAGTGATCCACCCGCCTCGGCTTCCCAAAGTGCTGTGATTACTGGCATGAGCCACCATGCCAGGCCTATTTTAAAAGGAATTAATACATAAATCCTTTTCTCAGTTTTAGTTTCCAATATGGTAAATATCTACGGTGTGACCCACATCACAGAAAAAGCTCTTTGTGATCCTAAATAATTTCTAAGAGCATCAAGGCGTTTTTAGACCAAAAGTTGAAGGACCACTGAATTAATGGATAACGATGGTAGAGATGAATACTGTGGCACACTTTACAAGGCATGTGGCATAGCTCGAGATGATTAGGTTGTCACTGCCGTGAGAGAAGTGGCTGTGTAGCGAGTTGATGCAGCTGTCTTTGAGGGAGAGCTAGGTCTACAGTCTCAAAGGAGCAGGTGCCTCTGGGGTGTATGGTCTGGAAAGGCATTCTGGTCTTGCTTTGGTGCTATTACTTTGAAATATTTTCAGTTCAGGGCACTTTCTGTTATACATCTCTATAGCTCCAGAACCTGGGGCAGTCTGCCACACAGTCTATGGAGGAAGGCTGGCCACGTGAATGAATGAATGCAGAGGCTGGCCTGTTTCACGTGTGCACTCAGCCCTGCAGGGAAACCTTGAGTGTGGTGAGAGTGTTCTGTGTTGCCTGCCTTGACATGGGCATGGGAAAGACTGTGGCAAGTTCCCATTTGCAAAAAACTAGTGATCTTTAGGTTTGATCTTTGTCGTGGGAGAAAAATGGGCATTTCCAATTAATCCACCTGTTGAAATCACTCTTAGCCACTGCAGTTTGAACTAATGATGGGCCACTGACTTTACTAATGCTGCTGGTTTTTGGTTTTTGTTTTCTTAATGCCTAGCTGCTCTGGAAGGATTGTGTTCAGCTTCTGTCATCTATCACTATCCTGGTGGAACTGGTGGTAAGAGTGGAGCTCGGAGGTTCCAGGGCAGCGCACTCTCTGCGGAAGCAGCCAACAGACACCGGCCAGGTGAGCGCTGCCCTTTCCCAGCCTCTGTTCATCTGCAGTCTTTAAAGAAAGCTCACTCATTTATTACCGTTTTCTTTGAGTTAGCACTAGTGTTTACATAAACTGTAAAATCTGTTGAGTCAGAAGTCTTGCACGAGACATTTTCTTCTGATTTTACTGAATACTTACCACTAATGGATTAGAATGATTGGCTGATTTCTGGGATACTTGCATAAAATTTCCTGGTAGAATGGACTTGAGGTTCTGTGTCTAAGTCTTTTTTATATTTTATGTATTGGGAGAAGCTAGTCCTAGAGGTCAATTTTAACAGCTGATTCAGGGCCTGGGAGCAGTTTCTTATTTTACTGGCTGATGAAGTTCTCTCAATGAGTTGTTTGATATGCTTATGCTTGGTAGCATAAGAAAACCAAGAGTGAAAAAGTTTCCTGGGCGGAGCAGATGCACGAATGCTGAATGAACATGAGCGTTTTGGTCCCTGAAGAATGAACGTGCCTTTAATGGCTCAGGACTTAGCCATCACATTGCAGAGCTCACAAAGACTGTACCAAAGAATGCAGAGCTCCAGGCCACACACAAAACTGCTAGGAATTTTTATTTTATTTTTGTTTTTTTGGTCCATGAGATTTTTGTATATTTTTCCCTTCAAAGACAAAAAAAGTTAGTTAATGTGTATTGGATGGGGAAACGTCTCACCATTTTTCCCATGAATTGTATCATACCTCGTCATCAGCAGAGAATGCAGAGACTGCCTTCATGGGCTGGTGACTGTAGCCACACGGTCCAAAGCCGCATGCCCTCTGTGTAGATTTGCTTAGATGAACTGTAATGATTCTTGAAGATAATTTTGGCATTCTTTAGTGGTACATCCCTCTTGGTGACATCTCAGTTATTGAAGAGGAAAGTGAGGCAGGCTGAGGGTGCCGTCCCAAGTCTGAAGTTTAAACAGGCATGTCCCTGCTGCTTGCTTCCTGTGCCGTGACCTGACTCGGATGCACTCCATTTTTGTTCACCAACTCTATTTACTGGTGATTATATTCGCTCTCACTGGCATGAGACAGCAGTGGTTGAAGTTTCACTGTTTTCTCTAGTCAGCAGCCAAGTGCTAACGTCTCTGACACACCCAGAAAGGTGAAAGCAGGTTTAATTTTCTCTTTAAAAGAAAGTTTTCTGGGCTGGGCAAGGTGGCTCATGCCTTTAATCCCAGCACTTTGGGAGGCTGAGGCAGGCGGATTGAGGTCAGGAGTTTGAGATCAGCCTGGCCAACATGGTGAAACCCTGTGTCTACTAAAAAAACAAAAATTAGCTGGGCGTGGTGGAGCATACCTGTAATCCCAGCCACTCAGGAGGCTGAGGCAGGAGAATTGCATGAAACCAGGAGGCTGTGAGCTAAGATCGCGCCACTGCACTCCAGTCTGGCGACAGAGTGAAACTTTGTCTTAAAAAAAAAGTCTTCTGCTCCTAGGAGTGCCTGCCTGCCTTCCTTTCTTTCTCTCTTTCTGTTTTTCCTTCCTTCCTTCCTTCCTCTTCCCTTCCTCTTTCTTTCTTTCTCTCTCTCTTCCTTTCCTTCCCTTTCCCTCCCTCCCTTCCCCTCTCTTTTTTCCCTCCTTCCCTCCCTCCCTTTTCCTTTTTCCTTCCTTCCTTCCTCTCTCTCTTCCTTTTCTTCCCTTTCTCTTTCCCTCCCTCCCACCATCTCTCCCTCTCTCCCTCTCTCCCTCTCTTCCTCTTTCCCTCACTTTCTCCTACCCTCACTCCCTCTCTCCCTCTGTCTCTGAGATGGACTTTTGCTCTGTTGCCCATGCTGCAGTTCAATGGCACAATCTCAGCTCATTGCAACCTCTGCCTCCCAGATTGAAGCAATTCTCCTGCCTTAGCCTCTGTAGTAGCTGGGATTATAGGCACCTGCTACCACACCCAGCTAATTCTTGTATTTTTTGTAGAGACAAGGTCTCACCATATAGGCCGGACTGGTCTCAAACTTTTGACCTCAGGTGATCCACCTGCCTCGGCCTCCCAAAGTGCTGAGATTACAGGTGTGATCCAGCGCACCTGGCCTAACAGTGCCTTTCATTGGAGGTGTTTAGATTTTTTTTCCTTTATTTTATTTTTTTAAATTGTGGTTTGAAGAGCTGTAAATGTGTTGCAACTGTTTCACCGATACGAAGAGGAAGACTAGAAACTTTTTAGGGTCACATTTCATTTCTTCCCTTTCCTAATTATAGGCAAATAAAATTTAAAGACATTGAAACACTGCTGTGTCTGTAGTAGAGAAATGTCTTTATTTAGATTTGCATAGAGTAAAAATCTTGGGAACTTTTTTCTGTTGAAGACAGTCTGTGGGGAAGAATATCGGGTAACAGTGACACTTAGATGACAGGAGAAAGGGCAATGGGACTGTCTGTCATTTAAAAACTTGGTAGGTTGGGCATGGTGGCTCACGCCTGTAATCCCAGCACTTTGGGAGGCCAAGGTGGGAGGATCACTTGAGGTCAGGAGTTTGAGATCAGCCCGACCAACATGGTGAAACCCCATCTCTACTGAAAATATAAAAATTAGCCAGCTGTCGGGCCGGGCGCAGTGGCTCAAGCCTGTAATCCCAGCACTTTGGGAGGCCGAGGCAGGTGGATCACGAGGTCAAGAGATCGAGACCATCCTGGTCGACATGGTGAAACCTCGTCTCTACTACAAAAATTTAGCTGGGCACGGTGGCGCGTGCCTATAATCCCAGCTACTGAGGAGGCTGAGGCAGGAGAATTGCCTGAACCCAGGAGGCGGAGGTTGCGGTGAGCCGAGATTGTGCCATTGCACTCCAGCCTGGGTAACAAGAGTGAAACTCCGTCTCAAAAACAAAACAAAACAAAAATTAGCTGGGTGTGGTAGTGTGTGCCTGTAGTCCCAGCTACTCAGGAGGCTGAGGTGGGAGGATTGCTTGAACCCAGGAGTTTGAAGTAGTGAGCTGTGGTTGTGCCACTGCACTCCAGCCTCGGTGACAAAGCAAGATCCTGTCTCAAAAAAAAGAAAAAAAATTTAAGAAGCTTGGCAATGATTTGACTACCTTTAAAGCAATGCGGTATCCAGATCTATTAATGGGCATGATCTCAGGAACAGAGATGCCGTCTCATCTTGGATATGAATCTTGAAATTAATATCCAGGTTTGTAGTGGCAGCCTTGTCTCACATCAGGAGTCAGTGGCATCTGTTTGAGATAAAGACCAACCTGATGATTTAATATCCTCCCTTGTTTCAGTAGCAAAACAGCAAAAATGCTGACGTCAGTCAATATCACTGTAACCTGAAGCAGGTTGTTAATGTCTTTTTGCCTCAGTTTTCTTTCTTTCTTTTTTTTTTTTTGAGTCCAGGTTTTGCTCTTGTTGCCCCAGGCTGGAGTGCAGTGGCACAATCTTAGCTCATTGCAACCTCGGCCTCCTGGTTCAAGCAATTCTTCTGCCTCAGCTGCCCCAGTAGCTGGGATTACAGGTGCCTGCCACTATGCCCAGATACTTATTTGTGTTTTTAGTAGACACAGGAATACACCATGTTGGCCAGGCTGGTCTTGAACTCCTGTCCCCAGGTGATCCACCTGCCTCAGCCTCCCAAAGTGCTGGGATTACAGGCTTGAGCCACTGCGCCTGGCTGCGTTATCTTAGTTTAAAATACAGTTCTATAGTTCCTGCCTCTTTTTGCTTTAATTCTCCTTTTGTTTTAAATTTCACTTTTACAGTATTTCAAAGGTTGGGACCACTAAATCTTAATCTGGAGACTTGTGTATTAATCTGTCATCTTATAATTAATGGACAAAACTTATTTTAAAAATTAATAGGACATTTTGTAATTAATCCAAAAGGAAGTACTTATCATGGACTTGTAAATATTTCTTTCTGGTCATTTCTACCTTTTGTACTGTCATCATTATCAAAATGGCTGTACATTATTCAGCCCCTATTGTAGGCCAGCGGATGTGCCTAACACTTTGCCTAAGTTTTACCTCACCACAGGCCTTTGAAGGTAGGGACTAATGCTTCCATTTTGCAGGTGAGGGGACTGAGGCTGGGTAACTTGCTCCACATCCCTCAGTGTGGTGTGTGGCGGAGTTGGGATTTGAACCTGGGTTGATGTGATTACAGAATGTGTATTCTTAAGGGCTCCTCGAATCAGCCTCCCCTTGACTGGCTGCCTGAAACTCTGTGAGTTTCATAAATGTTGGATTTTAGTGGTCTAAGCCTGACTAGGCCTTAAAAGAAGAAATATCGTAAGAATATGAGAGTGGCATAGATTAAAATTGTGCCTTGTCACAAATGTTTTATTCTCTGCTAACAACCTAAAAAGTAATATTTTAATTTTCTTTGTAAGCATGAGAAACAATACATTAAAAATAATTATGTGTCAGATGTGTTAAACGAGGGAAAAAGAAAAAAGAAATAAACCAGAATTAAGGAGAAAAAAGTGATTACAGTGCAAAAATAGAAGTGGTTTTAAAAATTCAACCATTGCTAATGACCTACTGCTTGTTTTTCTCTAGTGACGTTGGCTAAGGGAAAATGTTATATTGAATTGGTGTTAGGCAGTCATTTTTTTTTTTTTTGAGACACATGTCTATGGTATGTTTAGGCTGGACTTAGACTTCTGGACTCAAGTAGTCCCCTTGCCTCAGCCTCTTCAGTAGTGGGGCCACCGGCATGCACCACTGTGCCTGGCTTCAATGTACTCTTTAGAATGGAAGAGAAGATTAAGTTAGTGAATTTTGACAGAAAATAGAAATATGTACTCTTTTCTTTGTTGATGATGATATGTAAGTTTTGTGGGACTTTGGACTTGTTAGCCTTGTTTTTTATGGTCTAAATCTATTTCCTCATGTGTGAGATTAGCGTAATGCTGTATACTTTGTATGGCTGTAAGAGTTAGATACGATGGGTACAAAGCACCTAAAAGGGGCTCCATGAAAATTAGCCAGTGGGTCAAAACCAGGCTCAGCGGCTTGCACCATTAGTCACTGGGGAGGCTGA